CGTTGATCATACAGGAAACTGGGAATATGGAAATGCATTTTCACTTTGATGCAGGTTTGGATCAGCGGATTTATAATCAGCCTAGGGAGTTCTTGCAGAGAAGTAGAGATGGGAGAATTCTCCCACCCTGGTGCTTCTTTGGCTCCAATCTATCTGACATGATTTTAGGAAGAACAGAGGAGCTCAGCTTTCATGATGAGGTTAAATCAGATAGTCAACAAGTATTATCAAGCACCCTCCACAGGGTGCATAACTTTGAGCCGCACCCCAGGCATAAACCGTAACTTCTCACAACTGAGCTCTATGGGTAGGAGATTTAAGCATAGTTAATAAGAGCTTCATACTGGCAAACATTCCACGAATTATCTGTAATCCAGAAACTGGCATTAAATCTGATCTCTAGCTATTGTTGCTGTGGGCACATTCACAAGGTTGGTATGGAAATGCATCCATATCCTGGGAAGCTTGCATCTGTGCTATCTCCTGGTTCTGGTGTGAATATTGTATTATTACTTTTGAGTTCTTCAATTCCCAACATTGAATGGGATCTCACTCTATTTGTGACCTTGGTTATACCCCTAGAAACTCAAAGTGTGTCAGTGACATAATAGATTTCTAATTGGATTTTCCTTCGTTCATTCAGTTCTATTGCCACCCCCCTCCCCAAACAGAGCTCTGAATGCTTCCCCAACTTTGCTGTTATGGTTATGAACTCTAACACCCTGTAAGGTCAGGAATCCTCCTGGGGCCTTGTCACCATGATGTCTGGGCCTGGGCACCTTATTTCTAGGACTTTATTCTCTCCTTCTTCATATAGTATCAAAATTCAGTCAAAGGGCAGTGTGATCACCTTGATGATGACCTAAATTATCTAGGATCTTTCTTTTTTAAAAAGTAAAGTCCCTGGGCCCCATTTCTGAAAATTCTGATTTTAGTAGGTCTGAGATGAACTTGATAGTTGACCAATTTGGGGAAACCCTATTTCCCATAAAACCTGCTACTCAGAGTGTGGTCTGCAGACCAGCAGATGGGGCTTACCTTAGCGCTTGCAGAGATGCAAGGTCTCTGGCCTCACTCTTAACCTATTATATTTATTAGAATTGATATTTTAACCAGATCTCCATGCATAAGCATATGAACGTTTCAGAAGTTCTTCTGTGAAAAACTCTGACCCTGAAGCAGAAAATCTAGATTGAGCTCTCAAATTGCTGTAAGCAAACTGTGACCTAGGACATGTGCTTTCTCAGCTTTCTCTACTCCTTCCTCATGGGAGAGAGAAAGAATAAAAGAGAGAGAAAAAGAGAGTTGGTTTAAATAATACCTTATATTATAGGGTTCAAATTAATTGTAAACAAGTCTTTTAGTGACAAAGATGAATAGAAAAATAATTAAGAGAAATGAAAAGATCAGGCTGTGTATGTGTGTGGTGTACGTTTAGTGAGTGTGTGGTATGTGTGGTTTTGTTCATGGTGATAGGAGAACAAAAATTCCCTCCCCCACTGTGTGAGTTTGCTAGGGCTGATGTAGCACAGGACCCTGCATTGGTTTCCTTGAACAGCAGAAATGCACTGCCTCACAGTTCTGTGGACTGGAGTCCAAACCAGTGTCTGTACAATCGGTTCCTGCTGAGGGCTGTGAGGGAAGTTCTGCGCCTGCCTTTCTGGTAGTTCCCTGGCTTGGGGCAACCCAGCTCCAGTCTTCACATGGTCTTCTCTGTCTGTGTGTTTCTGTCTTTAAATATCCCCTTTTTATAAAGACCCCAGTTATATTAATTAAGCCCTACCCTAAGGACTTCACTGTAACTTGATTACTTCTGTAAAGACCCAGTCTCCAAAAAATGATCACATTCTCAGGTACTGGGGATTGGGACTTCCAAATGCAAATTGGAGGGAGGGGTCAATTCAAACCATAAATCCACAGTGGAAGTACACTGCAAATGAGAAGAGGGATATGGGGGTCCCTGAATCCCCCTTGCTATGATCCCCACACCTCCCTGGGATTAGATTAGGACAGTTGTAGACAAATAATCCTGAAAATTACTATTCCCTGGCCTTGAAGTCACACCAGCTCAAATTGATTATGCTCTGCATCTTTCAAATAACAAAAATCCTTCCATTTTGCTGACTTTTAGCTCTTGACCATAAGTGAATGGGGAACAGGACAGATGATCTTTGATGGACTACTAGCAAGGTTTATTTACATTAAAAATCAAACCTGCCATAATTTCTTTCTATTGCCCCAACTAATCCCTAATCAAGGCCTACAAATCTATCAGGCCCTCAGTCTTCACAGCTTCAGGAAGACAAAAATGTCAGTGATTTTACTTACTAGGCACTCTGTCAGGGTCCCTTGGGTCCTCATTTTATCTGCCATGTCCATGAGATGTGGTCTGTGCATAATCTGAGAAAGTCGGCTACATGCTGGACAACCTTGATTTAAAGCGAAGTGCCGTGGATGCACTAACTTTCCCAAATAGTAGCAGACTCAGAGAAAGGAGAGAAGTGAAACCTAGAGTGAGAAGTGGCTCAGATTTGAGCACCTTCTATATTCACAGAATCTGAGTGGACATAAATGAACTGTGCTACCAGGTAAGAAAAACTTGCACCCCACAACTATTTCTGAGGGCCTACACAATCACAGTGAGTGACTCATATAGTGGAATGAAATATATTCATGTTAAATCTGTCAGCAACACCTGCTTTGGTGAACTTGAATGAAATTCAAGGTGACCTTGACAATTTGGGGAAGTGGATATATGCAAACAGGAAGCAGTTTCACAGGTAATTCCTGTAGAAGAATTCAGACATAAATATAAGCCACTGATGAGATTGATTTGGCAAAAGACTGACAGCTAGGTATCAAAAACAGATGAAAGTAGTGCATGAAGGACTAAGAAGTGCAAGTATGATAGAAAGAGACTAGGATGAGGGTTTTCAAACTTTTTGATCATGACTCATAGTAAAATATAATTTCACATTGTGACCCAGCACATGTACACACACACGCATGTATAAATCTGGAACAAATGTTTGACAAAATAGTACCTTTACTACATGAAGACACTCTAGTTCTATTTTAGTCTACTCTATCTCTCCTCTCCTCTCCTCTCTTCTCCTCTTTCCTTTCCGCCCCTCCTCTGCTGTCCCCTCCTCTCTCCTTCCCTTTCCTGCCATACCATTCTACTTCACTTTACTCCATTCCACGTCACTCCGGGCTATTCTATTTGCTTTTAAGTAATTAATTTATTATTTGTTCATTCATTCATTCATTCATTCATTTAGTATTTTAATGCTGGTGTGACCTACTATACTGATTTTATGTTCCACCTAGCAGCCTGCAATCTGGAAAGGTTGGACAGATTATCACTATACCAGTGGTTCTCAGCAGGGAAAGGATATTTGATAATTTCCAGAGATGTTTTAGATTGTCTCAGTTGAGAGGGTACTTCTGGCATCTAGTAGATAGAGGTCAAGGACATTGCAAAACATCCTACATTGTACAGGGCACCTCCCCACAACAAAAAAAGTGTCCTGCCCCAAATATCAATAATGCTGCTGCTGAGAAACTCTGCTCTGTGCTTAGCACTTTTCTAAATACTCTCCAGAGCATGATTTCAGTCTGCATTCCTTGGAGCTTCTGTCACTGTGGGTCAGGAGTGAGGTCTGGGGGAGGGTGCTAGGGCCCCACAGCCCCTACTCTTGCCCACAGCAGTCAGAACAGGCTAGATGCTATGTGTATGATGACCAATCCTTCCTGGTTTGCTTGGAACTTTACTGGTTTTAGCAATTTAAGACTCATATCCCCAGAGCTCTCTCAGAACCTGGCAAACAAGGCCAGCTGGTCACCCCATAGTATACTGGACAGAACAATGGTTTTTGAAAAGAAAGTGTTAAAATAAGAAGGGAAGGCTATTAAAAGCTAAATCCTTCAAAAGCATAAATCTTATAATGGAAGGATGTTCAGGAGAACATGGAAAAGATCTCTAAGAGATCATTTTTAAAAGGCTATTAATGATTTGGGAAACAGTCACGTGAAGAAATTTCAAAGAACTGGGTTTATCTTCCCAGTCTGAGAACCCCGAAGAGAGAAGGATCTTAATCGCCATCTTCATGGAAAGAAAATGAGGACACTCTGAATGATTTTAAGCAGCTGTTTTCTGCAACTATATTTGACAAGTTAAGAGGGATTCTGCTGTAATATGATTCTTACTACCTTTAAGAAAATGTTTGTAATGTCTTATTCTGGATTTTTTTAAAAGATAAGAGTTTATGTTTTAAAATATATAATTTTTTGAATTGGGTACTTCCTATAGTCAAGGGGCTTTCAGCCATGGTCTCTTGAACTCCCTGCAGTCTGTGACTCAGTGAATGGCGTGGACCTTCATCTTGTAGGTGCCCTGGGCTAGATGCACTCTGGAATTAATGGAGAAAGGCACAACTCCTCTCCTCTAGGAGGTGACATTCCCGAAACAGTCAATCAAAATTCAACTGCATCCTTTTTCAGGTCAGATTTTCATAAAAGTGTCCCTGTAAGGATATTTTTTCTATTTCCTGCAAGCCAATTTATTGTGGTTACTCAGGTAGTTTCTCTCAGACCTCAGAGGTACAACTAATTAAACTTCAACAAGGTAACACCTGACCCCACTGCCTGACCTTCTTTCAGGGCTGTTTTCTTCTACTGTGGCTCAGTGTTCTCACACACCGTAGCAGAAGGTCAACAAAATTTTCCATAGCTATAATTAATGATATAGCTGTTGTTCTGTAAATGGTCTAAAACAATAGAAAATTCCCTTCAATCAGTATTCTCTGCCCAGAATTAAAACAGTTATGTATCAAGATAGTTTCTTTTGAACTTCCTTGCTCCAGAAGAGACTGCAATAACATTTCCTCTTGTGAAAATGGGATATCTGCCCAATGGTGAGGAGGAGGAAGACATCCCTCGATACAGCGTGTCTCCAATCATTTTAAAAATAGAAGCTACATTTTATTTCCCAGATGTGTGGAGATCTTGTGGAGTGTGACATGTTGGCGAGGTCTGTCTGACTCAGGAAGTGAAAGTGCTGCTCATTGAGATGGAAAGCCCCAGAAAGGGGCATTAGAGTGAGCTCGGTTGCTGTCACCTTCATGCCCCCTTCCTGGAAACTCCCTGGGAACCGCAGTGGGGAGGGCAGCTGAGCGGCTATGGATTCACAAAGGAGCCTCTTCCACCAGCTTGACAAGATGCTTCCAGATGTAAGCAGTGCATTCCTAACAAGGTAACACCTCATTTCCTTCCTTTCAGAATAAGGAAGAATGTCTTTGAAAACTCAGGGACTGTGTCAACGGTGTTTACAGTATTTTAATTATTATAGACCCATTTGTTCAATTTAAGAGGCCATGGATAATGCTTAAATACCTGAATGGTCTAGCCTGCATTCAAAGAGTCACTGAGCTATAAAATACTCATTTGCCAAACCCCATTGTCTGAACCATTAGTTACTACCAAGATCCATAATGAACTGGCCATTTCCAGTGATAAGCAAAAGAGAAGCAGTTCATTCTCTGGAGCGCCCACAACTAAAAAATTACCTGCTACAGTTCTTCACTGAATGGGTCTATTGGCTAATAGTTCTTCTGAAAATTAAGGTGTTATTTTTTTGTCAAAGTCATTTTTTCCCTCGGATAACAGCACCTATATTGTGTTCCAGGATACATATTATGTCCTTAGCCGAAATTGAATGCAGAAATCTCTCTCACAGTTCAAATAAAATATCATTAAGCAAAGTTCTTGTTGCTTGGGTGAAAAAGTCCCTGTGCAAATAGTATCATAGAAAGTAAATGGCCTTATTCCAGTTTGCTTTCCGGTTAGAACACAATGGCTCAGCACAGACATTTAAGAACCAAGTTGGAAAGGGGAACAATAGGAAGAAAATGGAAATGAATTGTGGATTCAGGATGGTTTGGTAATTTGCTAAACACTTCTCAGCTGGGTAAGAAAAATAACTTGATAAATGCCATAGGGGTGGAGGAGAAGAAGCTGAGGGCCTAGGTTGGCAAGAGAGTAAAAACACAAAAGAACTAAACTAATGAAATACATAATACATAGGAATAGGGGTGTGTGGAAGGGAGCAGATAAGGAGGAGAAGAGGAGAGAAGGAAGGCTGAGGGAGCTGGTGAGGAGTAAGTTTCTGAGCAGCAGAAATGATGGTCATTTTAAGAACAGCACGCTGAGTATTGAATTTTGCACATTTGTCATATAAACTTTCCTCACTCTCTCAGAACCTTTAGTAAACTGCTGTTGGGCTCTCAGCTCCCTAGGTCCATGTCTTGGAGTTTTTTGGGGGGTGGGGAGGGAGGTTGTTGTTTTGTTTTATTTTAGACCGCTTATGACATTCCCAAATAACTGTATAATCTATGTTTTTGGTTTTTGTCTGGCTTTTCGTACTATATGAGTAGACTTTGTCTATGTTTCTTGCTATAGTCCAAGGACCTAAGCAGTGCCTGACTCACAGGGAATCCATATATATATATATATATATATATATATATAGAGAGAGAGAGAGAGAGAAATATATATAACATGTATATATGTATACATATATACGTGTATATAATCTATGTGTATACACACACACATACCACACACACACATATATATACGGAGAGAGAGAGAGGAAATATTGATCAGTTGCCTACCATATGTGCCCCGAACTTGGATAAAATCTGCAACCTAGGGATGTGCCCTGACTGAGAATCCAACCCCCAACCCTCTGGTGTACAGGACAGTGTTCCAGCCAAGTGAGCCACACTGGCCAGGGCCTCGTATATATTTTTTAGTGAATGAATAAGTGATTGAATGAGAGCTACCATTACCCTTAAGGCTTTCAGAAAAATTGCGGGAGACCCAAAGCCGACTTGATGGCCTACCGAATGTGACCTTATTTAAATTTATTGATTGGTATCATTTGAAGGTTCCAGTTACTTTAAAGCTGTAGCAGTCCTTCCTCTTCACAATTTTCTCTTTCCCAGTAGCCTAGCTTTTACTTGAAGAAATTTGTGGCCCCTTGCAGCTACATGTGCCAAATTGAATATTGCTTTGTTTTATGCAAAAAAGGTTATGTCTTCATTGATTCTGCTAATTCAGTTAGCAATGATTTTTTTCTATTATCATTAACACATGATTAATAATAAAATAATAAACTTTATTTGACAATGACATTTTTTCTGCTTTAGAAGTATGGATGAAATCTACACTATACTACCGGTACTACATACCCTACATTCTGACTCCTGATGTTCAACTCCAGACTCTGAAAGCTGACAACCCAAGCATTGAACTTGCTTAATGCGTGAGTTTTATTAGGATGGCAAATGGAAGCACTTGCACACAAATGAAGATAATCTGCCTGAAACGATAGGGATGGGTGGAGTCTGGGGTAAATTGGAAAGTGCTTGACTAATCTACAGGTATTCAAATTCACATTTTGAGAAGTTATGCTAGGCAAATATAACACATTTATATTATCATTTTGTGAATGCTGATTTATAGTTATGATTCCTAATATCAAGCATAATGGAGTGAAAAAGCTGACTTTGTTTATAAATCTAATTTTTGTTCTACAATTTCTTAAAAATTACCCAGTTAAGGGGAATCATGTGGAGATCTGATGTGCATATATAAGTACACAGCATGTTAAGAAAAAGGAGTTGTGAATCAAATCTATAGGTCTGAGGTACAGAACAGAAACAATATGCAGAGGATGGTAGGAAAATCTATGAACTGTGATAACTCAGCAAAGACATGAAAGTAGAGCCACAGGTGATGAGGAAAATATAAGCTGCCACCCTGTCCATGCAGTTGCTAGAGAGCTCAGATGGGATGAGGCTCGCCCATCACATGAGGAATATGGTTTAAACCTATTCTGCCTGCTATTTGGTTCAAATCCCTCCTCCTTCCTTACTAGGTGTTTGGCCTTAGACACGTTGCTTAACTTGTGTTAAGTTTGTGTCAAAGTGTTCTTATCTGTGCAGTGGGGTTTGTAGTGGTGGGTATTTGTTGGTTCATCATTCACAGGGATGTTATGAGGATCAAATGTGTTAAAGCACACAAAGATCTTAGAATAGGGACTGGAATTGTACATGTATGTAAAGGATTTATTTATTGTTATTGTAAATGTATTGTTATTTAATTTAGATCATTCTTATTCACCCCTTCAGCCTTCCCTACCTCATATGCTCATGTGTTTAGGGGAATTGTAATGGACTGTACTGATCAATGTAACTTCAGTACCTCTACATATCACTTATGGATATCCCCATTTCATATAGAAAAATTCATGGGTATTGATGATGTCTTCTAGATGAGCAACCAAAGTCTAAGAGCTTTGTCCCATCATAGACCCAGAACTCTCATATTCCCAAGTCAAGCTATTTTTGAAACCTAATGCCAAACCCAGTTGTTTTCCTACTTGGCATACCACGTAGTAGGTCTTCAGTATGAGCCTGCTAAGTATGAGACCATTATGTACTCATACATCTTAACCAATGGAATCCTTTTCCCTGGAGATTTGATTAGAAAGTATGCTCAGTAATTTAAGTCTCAGAAACAGTGTTGCTTGTGCTTTTAGTTTTACAGACCTGCAGGAACACTGTTCTTCAGTTTCTGGGCCTGATTATTCTTTCCAGGAGAGAAGCTTAAAAGTGCATCCTTCAGCTAGTGTGCATCAGGTATCCTGCCAACCTGTCCAACACCTACTTCATTTGTCCTCTCCTGGGCACCCTAAACACACATACACATCCATGCACACACAAACATAAAGCATCAATAAAATTCCCATTCTTGAGTCAAAACAAAACAAACCTCTGTCCACCCCATAATTAACCATTCATGCATGTCAACGCCTGATATCAATACCTACTGAAGTGATTGAACAATCAGTTCTGCAAGTAAGAAGATTAATCTGTCCCTTCATAGCTAGACTAAAATGACGGGTAGGACCTCACTAGCCTGAGGGTGGATAAAGGGAGGCAACAATGTAAATGTGATCAGCAAATCCCTAGCATTTTCTCTGCTCCCTTAGATAAGGATGGAAGTGACCAACCAGGGTCTAAGAAGGCCATAGCCTCCACCTATCACTACCTGAGGCAGTGACTCACAGGTTCTTAGGAATAGTTCAGGAGTTGTTAACAGGGGTTATTCTTTTTATTTCTTAAGCATTCTCTCTCTCCCCCAACCCCATCCTTTATGAACATTATTCCCACTAGACCCAAACTCGATTACAAAAAAGTGCATTTGACATTAAGTGTAATTTTCAAATGTTACATATAAATGCATTAAGGAGTGATGCAGTCCTACCTAATCTCTTAAATAACAAAGATAAAGCAATCACAGAATCACAAAATGTTACCGCCAGAAGGAATTTGAAAACCTGACACATTTTGAATGTCAAGGAACTTTTAGTGGATTCTTGGCAAATAGACTAATGTAGCTAAGATCCTAAAGAAACTTTCTAAAATTGAAGTTATTTCTCCACATATATTCAAGGCACCTAGCCATCCTTTTTAGAATAAACTAGTACTTGAAAATAAACTATTACTAATTAGCATATCTTGGGTATTTACTGTGTGCCAGGCACACTTCTAAGTGCTTTATATATATATTAATTCACTTAGTCCTCATACCAATTGAACATAAGTAGAATCTTGCACAAGGTCACACTTCATAAGGGACTGAGCCAGGATTTCACTAGAGATAATCTGGGTCTAGATTACCGTTTCCTAGTGCAGGTGATAAACTGTGCTAACTCAAGAATCTGCTGTGTGACAGAGCGTTTCCTATATCCCCTTGCTGTTTGGTTACATCACCCCAATGTCAGCTGCTCACGTTGCCACCCAATCTTGGACTACATCCCCCAACCTGTTTTGCAGCTACATTTGGCCATAATGGCCATGCTCTCAACAGTGGGGAGCAAGAAGTGTTGACTGGGAATCCCAGGAAGACTGTTTAAAGGGAGCTGCTCTGATTGAGAGGCATCTCCTCTTTTCCTTCTGCTTGTCTTTTTTAAGGCTTGCAACTTGGATGTGAAAGTTGGCCTAAGCACATGATAGTGTGACCTTGAGGGAAAAGCCGTGTGCTTCATGAGGATGGTGGAGGACAAAGATAAAAGCCCCATACCAGCCTTAGGCTGTCTACCTCCAGACTTTTTTAAAGACATTTTTGGAATGTCCAAAAGACGCCTGTTATAGCCTTTTAAAATGTGGGTCTCACTTGACATTCGTTCCCCCTAATTTTTCTGTAATGACTTATCCATCTCTCAGCCTGTCTTCTTTGCATCCACTCTCCTGAGTTTTTCCCTCCCCTCTCCCTTTCCTTTTCTACCTCCACTTTTCATGGCCTTTAGTTCTTTTCTTTTCTTTCTCCTTATTATCCACTCTAGCTCTCTTCATGCATTTCTTTTTTTTTAAAAAAAAGGTAAGTGTGTGAATTAAGAATGAATATGGAAACAATACTGTAGTTGTGTTTGCATGGCAGGATTATGGATGATTTTATTACTACTTTATGACTAATAACACATTCTAAAGTTATATGTGTTTTTCAATAAAATATAATGATGAATTATACAATGACAGTTCTCTCTAAAAGTCAGAATTAGCCATTTTGTGTTTATTCATAATTTTTTTTAACCCAGGAAAGTTTCCTTCATCATTGAACTGTTCAGAAGTTGATGTATGTGGCCTGGAAAAACAAACCTATTTAATATTATGAAAGGGTAAATATAATTAGAAAGTCAAATAATTTTTAAATCATGTAATACATTTTAATTCCCCAAAACAAGGATTTGGGGATTGTCTGCAGGTTTGTATTATCCATGCCGGTGAACTCCTCCATGCAGCAGTTGTGCTAATTGAAAATTAGCAACTGGCTCCTGTAATCCCAGAAGTACCTTTCCTAAAACCACATTTGGTTATAAGAAAGCAAAGAGTATACTGAGGATGAATAGTGTGATGCACAATGCAAGCAGCCGCTGTCTTTACTGCTGCTACCTGGGAGCCTGTGCACAGTGAGGAGCCATTGAGGGCTAATGGAAATTTTCTCAGTATCTTCTTCGTAAAACCCAGTGAACATTTCCCTTCTCAGAGCTTCCAGGTGTTTTATACATTTAGGAAAGAGAAGTCACTTCCAAGTTCTCCAATTCTATAAAAAGAGGTTGACCAAGGAAATCACTTTTTAAACAGAATCAAGCCACTTGAAATTAAATGCTCTTTCATTGATGCACATTTTTACTTCTGAAGGCAACATTTAGTTCCAAATGGAAGGGATAATATGATTTTTTTTCTTTTAACGTTGACAGTATGAAGATTCCTGTAGAGACTTGAGCCGAAGAAGCTAGGTAAAGGGGGAAGAAATCTGATTTACATCTGTTTCTTAAAAAGGGAACATTCCAGGTAACTAAAATAAAATGTGCGTTCATTTCTAAAACTTTTGAAATTCAGACAAATGGTGTTCCATCATTGATTACCTTGGGAAATTTGCCCATGTTCTGGTAACATCGTGAATCTGTACGTATTACATCGTTGTGCAACAGGGATCTGTTGGCGTAAGAGGGAAAGAAAGCATTATCCTGGGCATTTAGCTTTCTTCAAGCTTTTGCTGCTATTTGTGCCTTTCCTGAATGGCTTGTCAGGTCTTGCAGCTTCATTATGTCCCAGCATTTCAGCTGTTCTCCTTTAACCCTTTCACGCCTCTGATTTTCTCTGAATGTTTCTTTTGCTATCAATTGCAAAGCTGGCTATTTTGATTTGGGTGAAAAAATAACCTAGACATGAAAGTCACTGTCAAGAAATGTGAAACTGGTTATGTTCTGTGAATCATAAATTATGTTGTCTCATCTATGGTAGTTCAGATTTTGGTTGTCGGCTCCTCCAGTCTCCCTTTTTTCCTTTCTCTCTCCTTTTTTTCTTACAATATTAAAAGCCAGTTCAGTGATTTCCTTATCTAAGGAGACCAGCTGTTTCCCGGAGGTTGGATCTTCTCTCTCCTTTCTAAATCAATGTCTGTCATAGGGAGACAGAAATATGTGTATGACTTACAGGATTTGTCTTCATAATGATGAATGTTTATTTGGAGCATTGATTATAATAGAAACCAGACTTTGAAAGCAATTTAAAGCTATGGTATCTGTCTGTTACAATCATTAAAAGCTAATGAGTATATTTCTTTAGCGTGCTTAATCTTTCCACAGTCTAACAACAGTGTTAATGTGGGAAAGATTCCATTCAGTATATGAGAAACATTTTGCTGATTAATCCCCAAATTATATGCTAACTATTTAGCCCATTATTTAAATGCGGTATAGAGTAGAATTTGCTTCTTAACTAACAATCATGTGGAAAATATCCAGATTCAGGCAGAACTGAAAGAACATTTCCCTGTCCTATCCTGGAAGATACATTACGTGTGATTAAAATTTTAAATTGTTGCAGGAACAGTTGTTTTCAAAGAGATCAAAGGTTGGCTTTATGCATACATCTTGCCACAGTTGGTTGATAATTATTTATCAAATGTCTGACAAGGCTAATGAGGTTTGTCTACATTTTCCATTTCTCTTACTAGAATTATAGTTTGTTCTGTCTACTTTTTGAAGACTATAAATGTGCATAAAACCACAACTGGCAGAATTTTCTCTAAATTTGGGGAGTTTGTCATAAAGGAAATAGCTTAAACAACTGAAGCTTAACTTTGAGACATCTAAAATTTAAAAGTTGTATGTAATTGTAGTTTGGCTTTTCAAAGAAGCATAGGTTTTTAGATCTGGAGTGTAAATATAAAGATGATCTAATCCAATCCCTATTTATTTTTTCAAAAGAACATATTGAAGAAAAATTTCACTTGGGAAGTTACTCTTAATAAAGCATTTACTTAAATATGTGGGGTATAATGAAGAAGAGTCTCTTTATATTTATATAAATTCATGTATGTGATACATCCACATGTCTGACTCTATAGTATAAGTAACAGAAAATGTAAACTGGCCTTAATGATAAAGAACATCTATTGGCTCCTGTATTTGGAAGGTCCAAAGATGTGCTAAGTTTCAAGAGCAGTTTGATTGAGCCATTCCCAGCTGTCACAGAGGTCCTTCCTTCCTTCCCATCTTTCTTCACTGAGAGCTTCATCCTGAAGCTGACTTCTTCCATAGTGGCAGAATTCCTCGGCAGTTTTAGGCCATATATATATATATATACCAACCAGATCAAAAAAGAAAATTCTGGCTCCCTCAGATGAACAGGTTACCTTCTTTCTCAGAAGCCCCCAGAAAACCCCCCTCATGTTTAAACTGGACCAATACCTCTGGCCAGAATTACAACATAGGTTGTTGCTTAGGGCTGAGTTGATTTGACAAGCAGCCAGGGAGGTGGATAAAACTGTAGGTTGAACTGTGGGTAAAACTCACCGGGTGAGACTATCAGGGCCTGTGCCTGGAGTTGGAGGAAGACCTAGGGTCACTCCCCAACCCCCACCCATGCCCTGTATTTACAGAGCAAACAAATACTTGTACTACCATCTATTCCCTTTTTACTTTTAGTAACCATAGAAGTAATTTATGCTCATTGTAGAAACATTTGAAAAGTCCCTTCCAGACTAATAAAAGCCTAATGTTAACTAACCATGAACATTTGGTGAATCTTCTTTTAATCTTTTTAAAAGATGCATCACTCAGACTATACAATATCTGGGTCTGTCAGTCTTTTTATCAGTGTGGGTATCTGTCTTCAGTTTTATATTCTGTTTTACATTTCAACCGAGCACTATTGGAAGCCTTTCCCCAAAACACTGAGAACTTGATTTCAAAGGTAGTTGAGGAGTAGACTTAGGCGGGAGACATTAACAGTTGCAAGCCATGCCTTGTTTGCACCATGTTTTCTAAACCTTTTCGGTTTGTCTCTCAGTGCTATTGGACTCAAAAGTCACTGAGACTTTACTCTCATCTCTAAAGGGTGCTAAAGCTCCCCCGAGGCTCTAAGACTTGCTGTGGGTTAGAACCACAGTCAGCAGAGGTACGGAAGAGGTCAGTTTCTGGAAGAGGGCTTCTTCGGGTTAAGTCAGACCAAAGCCAAACTAGGAGACCACTGAGGGCTGTTTGGGCATGAGGACACTTTCTGGTGTAATCTCTACCATTATCCCAAGTGTGAGTTGAAAAACCATTGTCAGTTCTCTGTATCTCATTCGTTCATTCCTTAACTGGGATAAGTGTTCTTATCTATCTGCCTCGTCAGAAGAAAATAATATGAAGTGTAACTATGAGTGTCATAATTAAACGATTTCCTAATAGATGCTCAATGTCAATATCATTATTTCATCATCATATTTTGCATCATCTCATCCTCTTGTGACGTGTTTGGACTGATTGAGCAGATTTTATTAACCTCCTATGATGTGTGAGGGAACTGAGTGTCAAAAGGATATGACTAACACTAGAATTACTTTGCTTATTTAAGGTATCAGCACTAGTAAAAGCATTTGGTGATGAGGACAGCAATGTCCTCACAGTCACGATGGAAATACCTCACAGTCAAGAGAGGCTAAGTAATAAGAATTAAGTCACCATAAATAAGATCTGTAGTATCTGTTTTTGAAAACTGGGCTTGCTCATTCAATGTTTCTCTCATCCAGTTGAACTGATGACAATTGATCACAAAATAAATTATTGGGTTTTTATTCCAATTTTCAAAATGTAATACATATTCAGTAAAGACAACTTAGAGAATACATGGAAGCAAAAGGAAGGAGAAAATATCACCCTAATTCTGCCAGGTATAGAAAACCATTAGTACTTGGCCCCTCAAGATTTTTTCTCCTATGCTCACATTTTTTATCTTTCGGTAGTACTAAGTTCTTAAAACTAAGGAAGAAATCTTAGAGAGACCTAAAGATGACTGTGTAACACAATAACTAAAACCAATTATTAAGTGCTAACTCAATAACATTATCTTAAGTGCTTTAAATATATCAAACATATTGTTCACAATTATTGCTAATAACTAATGGAGTAAGTTCTAGTATATCCCCATCTTACATATAAGGGAAGCAACACATAGAAAGATTCAACCAATTGTTCAAGGTCATATATCTTTGGACTTCAGCCATCTGGCTCTAGAGTCTGTATTTTTAACCTCTGTTCCATACTTCTGACCTACAGTGTACCAGAACTTCCATGGGGTACCCTGAAGTGTGATAATTTGGGACACTGACCTATATCTTGGAAGCATTTTTTGGACCATCTTTTGGCTTGTTTTACTTCTCGTAGATTGTTAAACAAGCTTGCAGTCTCCAAGTGGAGCAGCTAGAAACAGTTAAAGTGAGAGCTGAAATCCCAGAAACCTGGCTACTCATTCATTGCAAGAAACTTGTGGATTTCCATGTTCAGCGGTCTACCTGCCTGTTCCCAGGGAATGATGAAGATGGTGGAAGACAGGAATTGTGTGTGTGTGTGTGTGTGTGTGTGTGTGTGTGTGTACCTATATATACAGAGGTGAGCAAAAGTAGGTTTACAATTTTTGTATGAAAAATAATATAATAATAAATGAGAATAAACACACATATTCACAGCTATAAATACATATGTACATATACAATATTTTTAAAGAAAGATTTTCTCTTTGTGGATTCCCTAATCAGACTCTTTTACAAAGATATTGCTTTTAGTTGCTTTTTACTTTCTGAGTAAATACAGTGACAAATAATACTATGAATTACTGTTAAAAAGCTAAAAAATGATTTAAAAATTTTATTTGTAGTTCTCAAATTCTAAAAAATAAAAACGTATTAATTTATTTATAACCAGAAAATAAAATAGATTATTCTATCCCTTGGGAGGGGCAATACAGATCCAAAGTCAGACTGTCTTGCTTTACATCCAGCCTCTGCCAAGTACCATATAATAGGCATTGGTAAGTTTCTCCGCTTATCTGTGCTACAGTCTCCACATTTATAAAATGGGGATAAGAACTCATATACATTAAAGTATGATTGTAAGGATTGTGTGAATGATGATTTGACAATTGTGCTGTCATGTAGTAAACACTTAATGTTAGAAAGTGTCCTACAAAAATATGCAGTCATATCTGAGTAAAGATGTTCCAGGAACTATAGTCCACTGACTATAATAGTGAAAAACTGGAAACTACCAATATTTCCATCCATGGTGGCATAACAAAATAAAATTAATGCATTGCTCTTGTGGTATGTTGTATAACCATTAAAAGTAATCAGATGTATTGAAACATTTCATTGGATTGTAAGGTCAATGAAGACTAAAGTGTTGCTCATTATTTTATCCTCTAGGAGCAAGACTGCCACATAGGTCTCACTAATTATTATTTTTTTAAAGATTTTATTTATTTATTTTTAGAGAGGGGGGAAGGGAGGGAGAGAGAGAGGGAGAGAAACATCATTGTGTGGTTGCCTCTCATGCACCCCACACCCAGGAACCTGGCCTGCAACCCAGGCATGTGCCCTGACCAGAAATCAAGCAGGTGATGCTTTGGTGCACAGGCCAGCACTCAATCCACTGAGCCACATGTAATTATTAATTATAATTACAGTCTCAGTAATTACTAATTAAAAGAAAGAATATTTATGAATTAGAGAGATTCTCCAATTCATAGAGAATATTTATGTGCAGCTCCCACCTATCCATTTTGGTGGAGTAGGTGGGAGCTGCACAACAAACCTCCTCCCAGGACAAAACTGGAATTACAACTATGTTGTAGAGAAATCATCCTGAATAACCAACCGAACACTAGCTGGAAAGAAGCCTTTAGCACCAAGGCACCAAGGACAGACAGAAAAACTGCTTCATCAGAACATGACTGGTAGAGAGTGCAGAGAAAGAGAGACGGGGCTGGCTGGGCTCCCGTGGGCAGCAGCTGAAGTTCTAGAGGGTATTTCAGTGGCTGATGGGTTCCCTGTGATAAGCATGGGGTCTAAACCCCAAGTTGGACTCCCCAGCCTATAGCACCAGAGCCAGGAAAATAATCCAGATAACATCCAGCCATGAAAAGCAGTGAGGTTTCTGTCAACCAGGGAGAGACAGCTGGAGATGTAGAGAGCATCTTAAAGGGCTAGTGCACAAAATTTCATTTGCAGCCACTTACCCTGGGCTGCAGCAGAGGGAGGGCAGGGTGACCTAGTGATGGTTGAGGAGAGTCTGGGGATGGTGACTCTGGGGAGAGAACTGAAGAAACAGCTGCCAGAATCCCTGTGCTGAGTCATTCCCTGAATTGCAGAGATATCAGCCTGAGGGGAAACAACAGCCCTACTGGTAGGAATTACTCTGCCCCACCCTGTGGAATTTAAGCTGGACTGCTGAGTACAGCTTGAGGCTATATCACTGATTAAATTTAACAATTAAGGTGGATCTCTGGGAGCTCTGAGACTTTGGCTGGCCCTATCACAGGCCTGGCGCTGGTAAACGCTGGCCTTGGTGCACAGCCTGTTTTTTTTCCCTGCACTAAAACAGGCCTAGCAGAGGGATCCACAAGCTATAGATTGTTGCTAGCTCCAAATAGGTTGCCCAGAGCCAGTCACAGGCAGCATCTGAGACAGGTCCACACCAGAGTCTTTGCAGATCTAACTATTACCTAAAAACAAACAGAAAGGCACAGCCAAAATGTGCAGACAAAGAAACAAACCCCCAATGAAAGAACAAAAGAATCCTCCAAAAGAAGAACTACATGAAAGGAAAGCAAGACATTAATTAGCTATGGAGTTTAGAGGAATGATTATAAGGATAACCAGCAGCATGGAAAAAAAAAACCATAGAAACAATAAAATGGACTATCCAAAAATAAAGAATGTAATATCTGAAATAAATAATTTACTGAAAAAAATAAACAGTAGGTTAGATGAGGCAAAGTATTGAATTAGTGATTTGGAGGACAAGATGGAAAAAACACCTAGGTAGAGCAGAAAAAAAGAAAATAATTAAAAAGAGTGAGGAAAGCTTATGAAATTTTTTAGATAACATGAAGTGTAACAACATCTGCATCACAGGAATATTAGAATGAGAAGAGAGTGAGCAAGGGATCAAGAACCTATTTGAAGAAATGATGACTGAAAATTTCTCTAGTCTGGTGAAAGAAAAAGACACACAAGTCCAGGAAGCACAGAGAGTCCCAAACAACATGGGCTCAAACAGGCCTACACCAAGACTTGTCATAATTAAAATGGTAAAGCTTAAAGACAAGGAGAGAATCCTAAAAGCCATAAGAGAAAAGTAGGCAGTTACCTACAAGGGAACACCAGTTGGATTGTCATCTGATTTTTCAACAGAAACATTTCAGGCCAGAAGAGATTGGCATGGAATATTCAAGGTAATGAAAAGCAAGGGCCTACAACTAAGGCTACTTTACCAAGCAGGGCTATCATTTAAAATTGAAAGAGAAATAAAGAGCTCCCAGAGAAGAAAAAACTAAAGGAGTCTGTTAATACCAAACTAGTACTGTAACAAATGTTAAATGTCAAATGCTTTAAGAAGAATAAGAAAAAGAAAAACAGAGCAAAATAGTTTTAAAAATAAAATGGCATAAATACATATCAATAATCACCTTAAATGTAAATGGCTTAAATGCTACCACCAAAAGACATAATTGACTGAAGGAATAAGAAAACAAGACTCATATATATGCTGCCTCCAAGAGACACACGTCAGATAGAAAGACACACAGACTAACAGTAAAGGGACAGAAAAAGATATTTCATGCAAATGGAAAGGAAAGAGAAAGCTAGGCTGGCAATACTTACATCTGTCAGAATAGACTTTAAAACCAAGACTATAGTAAGAAACAAAAAAGGACACTACATAATCATAAAGGGAATAATCCAACAAGAGGATATAACCCTAGTCAATATTTATGCACCCAACGCAGGAGCACCTAAATATGTAAACCAAATCTTGATGGACATAAAAAGAGAGGTAGAAAGAAGTACAGTCATAGCTGGAGATTTTAACACTCCATTGACTTCAATGGATAAATCTTCCAGACAGAAAATCAACAAGAAGACAGTGGCCTTAAATGACACACTAGGCCAAATAAATGGATTAAATTGGTATCTTCAGAGCATTTCACCACAACGTAACAGAATATACATACTTTTCAAGTGCACATGGAACACTTTCTAGGATAGACCACATATTAGGACACAACAAGTCTCAATATTTAAGAAGACTAAAATCATATCATGCATTTTCTCTGACCACAGTGCTATGAAACTAGAAATCAATCACAGGAAGAACACTGAAAAGTACTTGAGGACATGGAAGTTAAATAACATATTATTAAACAATGAACGGGTCAACAATGAGATCAGGAAAGAAATCAAAAGTTACCTTAAAAAAATGAAAATGAGAACACAACAATCCAAAGTCTCTGGGAGACCAGGAAAACAATCCTAAGAGAAAAATTCATAGCATTACAAGACTATCTCAAGAAATAAGAAAAAGCTCAAATAAACAATGTAACTTCACACTTAAAGAAGAACAAAGAAAGTCTAAAGTGTGTAGATGGAAGGAAATAATAAAGATCAGAGTAGAAATAAATGAAATAGAGTCTAAGAAATGATATAAAAGATCAATGAATCCAAGAGCTGGTTTTTTGAAAAGATAAACAAGATTGACAAGCATTTAACCAGATTCATCAAGAAAAAAAGAGAGAGGACCCAAATATATAAAATAAAAAATGAAAGAGGAGAAATAACAACTGAAAACAAAGAAATACAAAGGATTGTAAGAAAATATTATGAACAATTATATAGCAACAAACTGGACAACCTGGATAAAATGGATAAATTCCTAGAAACTTATAATCTTCCAAAATTCAGTCAGGAAGAATGAGAGAGTCTGAATAGACAGACTGCACCTAGTGAAAATGAAGCAGTTAATACAAAATCTTTCAACAAACAAAAGCTCTGGATTAGATGGCTTCACAGGTGAATTTTACTAAACATTCCAGGAATAACTCATACCTTTTCTTCTCAATTTATTTCAAAAAATTTAAGAGGCAGGAAGCCTCCCAAGCTTATTTTATGAAGCCAGTATTATCCTAATTTCTAAACCAGATAAAGGCACTACAAAAAAAAAAAAGAAACATTACGGGTCAATATTACTGATGAACATAGATGCTAAACTCCTCTACACAATATTAGCAAATAGAATATGGTAATACATTGAAAAGATCATAAACCGTGATCAAATGTGATTTATTACAGGTATGTAAGGTAATACATTGTAAGGTTGCAAATCAATAAATGTGATTCACCAAATAAACAAAATGAAGGACAAAAATCACATGATCATATCAATAGGTGCAGAAAATGCTTTTGATAAAATTGAACACACATTTATGATAAAAACTCTCAGCAAAGTGGGAATAGACAGAATATACATAAAGGCCATATATGACAAAATCACTGCCAGGACCCTACTCAATAGGCAA